ATATATATATATATATGCACCAATATCATATAATAGGAGGATTCTAACGGAATTGATTCAATATTAATAGTATGTGATCATATACCTTATTTTTGATTTTCCTGCGCACCCGTTTGAGGGCTTTCTCCTCAGTTTTGGTGAGCGGTAGTTTGTTGGGGACAGGATATCCCTCAGCGATCAAAGTCCTCTTCTCTTCCTCTGTCAGCATCAAAGGGCCTGATGTTCCTTGCAGCTTCTGCATTACAACACAAGTCAGCGTTTTTCACTCTGTATATATGCGTTTAATATGTGTATATGAATTTCCATTTGGATTATATAAAATGAGCATGCTGTGTTACATGCTGAAATTGCGTTTGACTCACATGCGGGGCAGTGAGGAGAGGGGACGAGGAGATGGCTGTGGAGGTTCGGGCCTGTAGTCGGGCAGGGCTGGACGGAGGCAATGAATGTGGGCTCTGCAGGTGGCCAGGGCTTAATGGTGGCAGTGAATGTGGGCTCTGGGATCCGTCGCTGTCGCTGCCATGGCTGCTGGGAGGAGTGGGCGGCAACCGCAGATGCTCATCTGTTGGGAACAAAGAGATAATCGTGACACCTATGACTCGTTCACTCCTTGACATTCACATCTTAATAATCAGGTTTGATTCCGTACTCATGCTACACAAACACGGCAAGTTAAAATGGGCTTTTGAGCAATGCCAGGCCAAGGTGTGAAACTGAAAATCAGTCTATTCACCTGTCATCATGAAAAACCAATAAAGCCTGATCCTTTGGGAGCTTTCAGGCATTACGCACACAGCACATGCATGCACAATGCTTCTAACTGTGGTGAGTGTTGGATTGATCATGTGTTTGGTCTGGCAATGTCCCATTACATACACAGCACTGCTGTTGTTTCTGGATGAGCAGAATGAAAGGACGTCATACTGCCAGACAGACAGAGCACGCACAACACCTGCAGGTGCTATAGGTTGCTTGCCATTAGCAGATTTTCATCCAAAATGATGTGTGGTATACTGAGGGCACAGTCACACTGGTGAAACCTAGGGTTAAGTGCCTTTTCTCAGCAGCACAATTGTGGTACGGCAGGACTTAATTTAAACCTGTAATCTTAGTATTACGAGCTCAGATCCTAAAAATTGTCTAGAACCAACATCAAACATTAATGACTGTATTAAATAACAGCAAACTGTATGTTTGTAGTACATACATGTAGATCTACCTTATTAATATCATGACCATCCAGTTACTTTACCGTTCAAAAATTTGGCCTATATAAATATACAGCAAGAATAAAACATTCTTTTGCACTGCCCATTCATCAAAGAATTCTGAAAACGTGTCACTGTTTCCACAAACATATTGAGCACTAAGCAGCACAACTGTTTTTAACATAAGAAATATTTCTTAAGCACCAAATCAGCATATTAGAATGATTTCTGAAGGATCATGTGACACTGAAGACTGGAGTAATGACATAAAAATGACAACAAAAAAAAAAACTTAATTTTAAAATCAGAAAACATTTTAAATTGTAATTTCTAATCTTCAATATTTCAAAATATTGTCATTTTGCTGCATTTTTGATCAAATAAAATGCGTCCATAATGAGCATAAGTAAATAAATAAAAACTGACCACAATATGCAAACAATTCACTCTATACAACAGACTAAAATGCAATACTCAAGTTGCATCAGACTTGGTTTTCATCAATGGGCCATTCAGAAAGAGCTAAAGTTGAGATCTGAGAGATTGTCAAACACATGCAAAAGTTAAATAAAGAAACACTCACACTAAGCCTCATTTCCTCTGGAAAAGGAACACACAATTAGAGTATTTATAACCCTGAACTTACCGTAGAGCAAGGAAGCAGAATAAAAGAGGGTTAATTTGCTTTAGTTTTGCCATCTTTAAACTAGTGTGGAAGAACTGCACTGGTCATATGTGGCAACTAAGTGCTATATGTTGAGTACATTAGTTTGTTGTTGTGCATCTAAAGTAGAGGGCTACTGTGCATGCTTTTTAGCCTTGTATTTAAAGTACAGTCATGGTATAAAAGACCACAATTGCTGTGTTTTCAATGCTGGGCCCCAGCATAGGTTGCTGGAATGCTACAGTCACTAACAGGGATCTTAACTAGCTAAACCAGCAAGACTCACTTGGTCATACTGCTTCATCATAAAGACCATGCTGTTTCAGAGCAGGGCTGAAGAGAGATTTCACACCCACCTGAAGGCACACTGAGGAACTGGTTCACCTCTCTGGGCTCAGCTTTGATGGCAGGAACAGAGTTTGAGATCAGGCCTTTGGAACTCTAACAACAAAAACAAACAGCAAAACAATCATTAATGTCAGCATGACATCAAATTCCTGGTCTCACACAATTAATATGTGTATTTTTGTGTTATATATTTTAATATTTAATCAAAGTTTGCTTGCCACTAAAATGACTTTCATGTTCTCACCCTACTTTTTTTTTTTTATTCGTTAAATATCCTGTATCACTCAAAAATATGGCACATTAAGGAAGTGAAATGAAATTCTCATTCATTACAACATACAATAGATGCTTATTCACTGAAGTACTCGTGAAAGAAGCATCCTGTCTGTGTTTTCTCAATGCACGTTACAGCAATATGTGGCATAGAGACATCATTCAGCTTTATCTGCGAGCCTCTGATGATATCAGGCTGCAGTGGTCTGTAGTATTTAATGATTTTTGATGGTACTCAACTGTTAGGGTACTGGACTAAATGTGCTTCATGCTGGATGTCTGAGACAGTAAACACAGCTGAAGGCAGACTCAAACTGTTTACACTGACAGAGCAAAGGCTACCCGCCTGCTAACCACACACAGTCTGGCCAGCCACCAACCATCATGCACAAAGTGAGGTGACATGAGCCTCAGATCAGAGGGGCTGTTGTACCCTTCACTTTTCTTCATGCCTCCCTCTTATTATTTTCTGGGTCAGTGGACGGCATTCCCCACCAACTTGAACTAGTAAAGGCCTTTGTACAAAGAGACTACAATACTGTGCTGTAAAAATTGCAGAGGTGTGCTATTAGCTGGAAAGTTGTCAGGCTATATTATAACTTGCAATGCTGCATTTACTGCCACATGCAGGGTTCCTATATTATGAAAGTATCCTTATGTGTACTGTATTTAGAAACTGAACACCACCTACACTGAATCAAATGAGCAAGAGTGCTGTTGATATGCTATTGCTATTTAGTACGACAGTGCGAAGTAGAACAAAAACGTAGACTTTAAACACAACAGCATCATTAGCCATGTACTATTTTTCTGTGTTACCAGCACCCAGATATCACTGTTTATTTGTCAGCAAAAGTCTGCCAGATTATGCAAAATGCAACTTTTGGTGACAAATAAATGGGGATATCTGGGTGAGGTAACACTGAGAAATAGTACACACTATTCATTTACATATACTACCATCATTGTAACAAAACAAAGCTGGTTAAAAATCAGCAAACTTAACCTTTATTGAATCAGTTGAGTCAATGATTCAAGGACTCACTCATAAAAACAATCACTTCATAAGTTCCATAATGAATCACTGTTTTAAATAAAAATCGGTTCTGCCAATGATTCATTAAGTTGATGGGCTAGGAAGAGTATGTGAAAGAGTAGTATGTACAAATTCATAGTTTTCATAAAAAAGCAGGCAAAAAGTACCCAGATGGTCGACTGCTTCTGCAGAGATTCGAAAGTACAAATCTCAAGATGTCACAGGAGATAAGTTGTAAATGGCAGTGAAGCGACGCGACTAAGCTGTAAGTCACATGACAATGACAATTTGGGGATGTAGTAGCCTATGTCTGGGTTTCATTCATACTACACACATTAATAATACTATATATACCTTTTTTTAATAGTCCAATGTAGTACCTCCAGTGCCAGGCTGTATGTGCACTGCACAGCTTAGTCACCTGTCGCAACATACTTGTGTAATGATTTAACATGCAGAGAATCACTGAAAAATCTCTACCACTATACACCCTGCCAGCCTCAAATCCGAGGACTGGGACTGTTTTATAAAACAATACACAGATACAAATAAACTGTAAATACAGAATCTTTCAAAAGTGTCTATGAAAACATATTTCAAATAGCCAATACAATGTACCTTCCTCCTCTTCTAGTCAAGCTTCATTAAAATTAAACTACAGCAAAATCAGGTCATTTTCTGTTTTAGTTGGACCAATAACTTGGACTTCTTCAACATTCCAAGGTGGCCTCAAAAAGGATCCAAAGCACTGCCTGAGGATTATGTAATATATGCAGATCATGAATTATGGTGCTCCATTTCTTAATGCCATGTTATATATGGTTTGTGTTTATCTGGTGAGAGCTGCTCTTCCTGTGGCACACGGTCACATGAGGACATTCTCCAGTACAGCTGCACCGACAATACAGCAGAACCCAGTGGGATGTCAGAACAGCTTTACGCCATGTGTGTGTCTTGCTGCCCTTCTTAAATAAAGGACATGTGCTTACATAAACCCCATCAATCCTGAATATTATTTCATCTAGCCAAGTTATTCTTGACAGCACTTCTCACTTTTTAAATTTCAAGCGAAAAATGTTCAGTCCCTTGTTCTGTGTGTTTGCTTATTTTGATGACCGGTATCTTCACACAGCACAATCCAGCTCCCTGGAGAGGGCAGAGTTTATGGGAGCTGTTGGAAAGTCTGGCCTGAGTTAGTGTCAAGTCAAGGAGAAGAGAGCAGTTCCATGGCTCTGATGCTCAAAGAGAGTCCGGTGCCAGATCTGAGAGGCCTCAGCAGCCACAAAGAACTAATCTACTCTCAACTCAACACTGATGCTGCTGGAGCTGATTCCCATGCTTCAGCGAGTTCAACTCCTCACACACACACACACACACACACTCGTACTGCGAACATGTTCACTGGGCAGAGAAGTCGAGCAAGCTGCCAGCTGAGCAAAAGAGCACATGAAGCATGTGTGAGAATGTTTTTCATTGTCATACTAACACAATGGTCCGTCTGGTGTGCAGTGTGTGTAAGGTTCACCATCATTAGCTCACTTACATCTGTTGATATCCACTCTAGAGTAACATCTACCTGACTAATACAACAAGCATTTCACTCAAACGTCAGTTTTTAAGATTAGTTGCAGGATGACCAGATGTACCTTCTCCCCTGTGTGGTTCCTCTGTGGCGGAGGGGCAAGAGTGAGGGGGTGTGAGCAGGTGCTTGTGTTGGCCAGAGGGGGCGCTGTATCAGGGCAGTTCTCTGACATCAGGCTGGGCTCCTGCTTCACTAGAATGGCTGTTAGATTCTGACTGAACGACCACATCCCTTCAGAGTCTGAGGAAAGAAATAACAGGCTCAAACAAACAGAAAACAGAGAAAAAGTACTGACTGTAAAAGTTTTTTTAAGAAATGCTTTGGGGAATGACATATGGAATGATAATACTTAATAAATAAAGTCTCTCAAAAGACACAAGGATCACATCAAATCAATCAGATGTTAAAAAACAGGGAGAGATGCTGAATAAAGCACAAAGCACAAATTCAACAGTTGAACTTGACAGTTGATGTAAAGCGCAAAATCCTGTGGACAGTAGGCCACAGATAAGCTTATGTACTATGACACGAAAACAGCAAAACAATCAATATACTTTTTTACTGTCTATTCAGTGCTTTAGATTATCCACAGTGTATTTGAATTGTCTTCATTTTGGGTGTTTTATTTGCTTCAATTTCATTTATGTAATCTATTTAATCAGCATACCCATTAAAAATACATTTAATTCATTGACGGACAAAAAATTATTATATATTAATAAATTATTTAATTCATCACTGTGTATCAGACAATATTTAGTCATGTAATGCATCTGTGTGCTTTTAAAAAAAGAGCCTTATGGGCAAATGTGTCTTAAAATATCATGCAGGATCGTAATCAATGCGTGATATTTTCAGGAAAGTGACAAATTTCACACTCCAGACCCCATGTAGGGGGTTTCATGCAGAGGCTGTAATGCTGCAGGTGAAGAGGACAGACTCAGTTAATGACCGGAAGGGTAAAGCAAACCAGCTTTTCTTTATACTTTTAACACAAAAGCCTATGGTGTGGGAGGGGCAGGTGAGAGATTGGGGGCATGTAGGGTGGCTAGAGAACAGCTCTACATGTCTGGACGCTTCAAAGGGAAGGAAAGCACTGTGTATAGTGGGAGCCCTCGTTATCACATCGCCCTCGGTAGCATTCGTTGTGCAGGCTCCACTGCAGAATCGATAAAACATTATGCGGCCTTGTAAAAGAAGGATGGCAGGTTTTTCATGTTAGTCCTCTGTTAGGGAAGGACATCAGCAGGGGTCTGATTACAACAGGAGAGGAAAGCTCTTTAGGAGTTCTGCTGTTCGGTGGAGAGCGCTGGATTTTATACTTCATAGCTCTCAGTCTGTGGGAAACCTCTGTAAAAGTGCCTAACCCTTCAGTTCAGTACACCAGATTAGACCATAAGAGTCTGTCCTTCACCTGGGTGCACTAAAGCAAACACACTCTTATGCGTAGCCTCTATTGTGAATAAGGGATTAGTCTTTTTTACAGCTTTTTCAAACATGATTAGACCAAATGCACACTTTCTGAAGGATCTGATCGATCTGAGGGGTCTCTTAGATCTATAAGGATTCTCTCATTCTCACCGCCTGTCTCTCTATATATTAAAACAAAATGAGTTTAAGGACATCTCTGCTGAAAAGACCAGTATAAACCAACATGGGCTGGCTGGTGAACCATCATAAATTGCAAAACTTTACTTGTGAAGCAGGTCAACCAGCGAAATCTTTCTGGACAGGCTGGTTGACCTACAAAGTCTTGCTAGTTAAGAAGTACCCCTCCGAGGACGCCAACCCTGAACCATCATACAAAACGACCAAATTTTCCTATAAGTTTGATCGCAACATATAATCATTGCTGTTAATAGTGTTCACCATTTGTTTGAATACATGTCATTAACTAACTGCATGATTTTTACTGTACATTTCTGCCATATGGACATCACCTTGACATAGTCATCATTGATAAGCTACTCCTAAATGTAATGTAGAAACGTTCATTTTCTGTGAAGCTGCTCTGCAATGATTTGTATCGTGAAAAGCGCTATACAAATAATCGTGAATTTAATTTAATTGAAGTACACCATAATGCGGATCGACATCCTTTGAAAGAATGAGGTGACACACAGTACATTGTGTCATGTACTCAGACAGATAGATAAAGACAAGGCAAAAACCTGCTGTAGCTTGACTATAATTGCACATTTAAACATACTTGTCACTTTTTCTCCATGTGGTAGCTTAAATGTGGCTTAGAGCTGCTGTTAATAATATGGACAAATTTTACATGCAAAAGTCCCTCCTTATACTCCACAGAAGCTACTGGATCCTGCCCACAGGGCACTGTAAGGCTTTGATGTCTCTCAGGACAGCAGGTATCATAGTGAGGCGACTCCAGGCCGGCGGAGACGGAAAAGCGATGCTCATTAGCGGGTTTAAAGTTACTGCAGAGCAACAGGAGACAAAGTAGTGAACCAGCCAGTGCTTACTTTAACTGCCCCCTAAAGTCACTCACAGTCTTTATATGGGCAGGTTAATGGATCAGAGGGGATATCACACATTACTGAAACACCTGAACTCACTGTGGTCATCTAAACTCCCTACACTCTCAGACAAAAGCTGTGCAAAAACTGTACCTTTAGGGGTACAACATCTTGTCACTGCAGCAGTACCCTTAAAGGTGGGGTAAGCGATTTTTCAAAAACGCTTTAGAAAACTGATTCGGGCCGACTAGCAAAACAAACTTGTAGCCAATCAGCAGTAAGAAGCGTGTCTACGCATGATGTGGAGGAGAGAGAGTTCAGTGCACAGGACGGACATTAGCCGAGACGAGCGACAGAAAGATAGAGATGGCGGATAAAAAACAAAAGAGGAAAACGTCTGCGGAACAAAAGAAGGCTTAAGGCAAGAAGTAGGACCCGTGTAAATATCGGATCAGCTTTCCAGCGCTGGAGAGAACTCATGGAGCGGAAGGCCTGCGATCGGACACCGAGGTTGCTTTGTTTCTTCTCGATAGGTGAGTAAAACACCGTGTCTGTGCCGCAACAGCTAAAGTCTGTCTAGTACACTGGACCCGACAAAGCGACCGTTGAAAATCATTTGAAATTTGCGCCGCACCCAGTGTAGACCATAGATATGTATATATATATATCTATGGTGTAGACAGCATCACTGATTATAATGAGTTTCATAGTATTTTGTTGCGCCGCGCCACTCACGTCCGGTGTAGACACGGTGTAAAATTAGTTTTGCTTTGTTTCACATAACTAACCGTTGCCTGGGTTGTGTACGTATGTGTGGGGCAGAGCTATCAAAATAGGGGCGAGACCCTTTTGGGGTAGGGGCGTGTTTGTTTTGGTGATTTCAAATGTCAACATTGGCTACCAGAAATCACTTACCCCACCTTTAAAGGGACATCTTCGTTACCTATTTACCTCTAAAAGGTACATAGTAGTACCTTAAGGCAACAGATGGCAGGGTATAGATGGCTGAAATATATTCAATATTTTTGACAGCTCAATACCTCATGAGGCCTGAAAACTGTATCATTAAATTTATTGCCAGAAAGTTAATTGCTAATTCAATTTAAACTCTTATTTCCTGCTTTTTACTGTTCATTTTACATTCATTTTTGCAGCCATAACCCTAAATGTACACATTTTTCAGTAAATTCCGTTTTTTGAGCTAGAAGGCACAGAGAGAGAAAGAAACAATAGCATGAATGTGTTCAGAAAGACCTTCATTTTGGATGCTCAGGGCATTACAGGCTGGCTAAATGGATCAAGAAATCCTGCAGTACCTTCATGCTTCTTAAAGGATTTGTTGATTTAAAGCCTGACTGGAAAGAAGTCTGTGCACACACTCCTCACATATTCAGCCTAAGTTCAGGATGATGCAACTCCCCGAGCCACCCCCACCAAATTCTCCATCTGAAGCTGGAAACCAGATCCCTTTTTATTTTATGGATGTCTGCAGTTCCTTGGCCTGACCGTGGCTTGTGTGAGAAAGAGAGAGAGAGAGACAGACGGACGAACTGACAGAAAGAGTGAGCGAGTATGAGTGTTGGCTGTCTTCCTGGAATTCCCAGCTTCCAATGGTAGACTGAGTTCTTGGCTAGAGCTTTGACAAGGAACCCTGTGCTGCACGGGTGCTTCGAGAGATGAGGAGAGATGCCGAGAAAAGAAAGACTTTATAGAAAAACCAGAGCTGCTGATAGATGATGCTTTGAACTATGGCATTTATCAGGAGTGTAAAATCTTCTCCTGATAATCTAACACGGATAGCTGCTTTTCTGCATGGATGCATGACAAGCAAGAAAAGGAATGAATAGGGTATGCTGAGCTGCTTGCTAACCTGCATCATCATCTGATTTGATGGGCATGGAGGGGCTCTGTGGGGCAGAGTCCCCACTGAGAGAGTAGCTGTGTTCTGCCTGGATGTCAGGGTTTGGAGGGTCCAGATCCATATCCAACAATGGGTTCCTCTCCGCCAACAGATGATCATCAAAGAAACTGTTGAAAAGGTCATTGGAGAAATCCTCCATCTGCTCGGAGAAGTGCTGGGGGAAGAGACCACAAAGACAATATTTTTATTTAATTTAATTTTTTTATTTAAATAAAATGAATATTTTTATTCAGCAAGGACACCATACGTTTATTAAAACTGACAATTATCACTATTAGCATGATTTCTGAAGGTTCATGTGACACTGAAAACTGGAGTAGTGACTGAAAATTCAGTACTGTTGAAAATTCAGCTTTGCCATCAGAGGAATAAATTACATTTGACAATATATTACAATAGAAAATGGTTATTTTAAATTGTAAGAATATATTCACTAAATTACTATTTTACTGTATATTTGATCAAATAAATGGAGCCTTGGTGAGCATCAAAGACTTTCAAAAACATCTTACCAACTGTAAACTTTTGAATGGTAGAACAGTAATGTGTGAACAAATAATCATTTGGCTGAATTCATCCCTCTCCCTGATCACGTTATTATAAGCAAAGATCAACTCAAATAACATTGAGATACTAATTTGATATACAGCCTCTTTTCAAATGATCATTTAAATATGGTCACTGTTGAAATTCAGAGGAACTCTGATAAAACCCTTCTGTCATTTAGTTCAAGGAGTGTTTGTCTGAAAGGTGGATAAAAAAGAGAAATGCATTCTTCTATGCATGAGTGCATTTATAATGTATGTCGTCATGTTGCGAATGGAAAGACGTGTGTGTGCGTCTCTGCAGTGGGGGCATGCGAATATGTGTTTGGTGAGCAAGGGTGTGGAAAAAGGTGTGAGAGGACCTGATCGTGTTTACATCCTGGTGAACGGTGACAGGTGTGGGAATGACACACCTGTAGCGCAGTGAGCATATAAACCAGCCGCTATGCACATATCGCAGATATGTACACGTGCACACATCCACACTCCCAGCACCTGGATGAGTTCCCACACAAACCCCTAGCCACTGCGACACTTCTATGAAGAGGGGACCGGGAAAGCTGTGCTGTTATGAATGTTTACTCTGGCTGTCCCTAGTTGACCAAACAGAGCTTCCAAAACAATGAACCTGAATTGAGAATTAGGGGAGAACGGAGTATTGTAGCTCATGGTATCTGGTCAAACTTGCTGCTCACCAAATGGATGCATAAGCAGAGGAGCAGGAAACAAACCCTGCAATGGCAGTTATCCGTATTGCTTGACGAATGACATCCTGGGAACACCCTGATGATAAAGTTCATGAAATGACGCAGCTGTCCTGCCGTCAGTGCCGGCTAATCACCACGGCTGAGCATGACAATATAAACAGTCCCACCCTAAAGCTTTGAGGTTCGTTAAATGTTCCTGCTCCTGGATGTGTGGGGCGGATATGTTTACAGACTTGATTAATACGAAGGTGGTGAAGGTGCTATTTCGTAACTCTGAGCTGCATATGCTAGCAGGCTGTGTGTGTGTGTTTTAATTTGCTAAGTAGTTTTGTCAAGTAATCCATTAGCCTAGTGCAAAATGCAAATATAAAGGATCCCTATTACACATGAGCTTCGATGGAAACCTGTATTCACGTGTGCAACTTCCCTGTCTGTGTGGTCCTGTGTACATCTGTTATCAGAGCAGACAGTCAGAACGCTTCTCCAATCGGTTTTATCTCTCTGTAGAGCTCGTTCCTGTTTTGACAAGTGTCAGTTAAGAGTTTCTTATGTTGTGTCTGTCTGGTTTTCAGTTGACCTTGCAGGGGCCAATGGTAATGATGCAATGCTGGGGTGCTGATGCAAGAGTCTTGAAATTCCACATCTGGAAGGCTCCTCAGAGGAAGAATACCAGAAGAACTGGAAAAGTGTGTCTCTATCATTAGGGTCAAATTTGAGGAGAAATGAAAACAAGTCATATCTCAGGCTTAACCCTTTTTAAAAAGTAGAATAGTGACATTTAGATGATTTTTCTCACATTAAAATGCAGACGGAAGGAACGTTACTTTGAGGACTAAAAAAAAACACATTTGCTGTTGAAAGTTGCATTGGTGGTCAAAACCTGTCAACTGACATTGCAACATAGATCAGTGATCATGTATTCAAGCAGCCTTATTGGATCAGACACTCCTATCCATCAACAGACCTATCAGACCCTTAACACGTATGCCATACACTTCAAGTGAACTAAAAGCACAGTACACTGTGCATTTATGTTGACATTTCACAATTATAACTGCAGCTGGGGCTTTTGAGCTAACTTCCCTGACATCCGTGTCTTAGTTATGTGCAATAAAACACACAGAATGATTTTATCTATGTTGTATTGAGTACAATAAGGAAGAGAGAGTCATATTTCTGCATTTTATAATTAGAAGAAGTCCTCCTTTCTATGCTATATATATATATATTCTTAATATTCTTTTTCAGCTTAGTCAATACTGTCATTTAAAATATTTCTCGTTTGTCACTTGGGCGCTCTTTATAAATTGTTAAAAAATGGACCACAGCTGCAGCAGTGCAGAGCATGTGTGCACAGGCTGAGCAATGCCCTATTTTTCCATCTGATCCATTTTCTTGAAGTAACGTTTAGGTCATGTCCGGGTCTAAGCGGGCTAGTAAACTGCACAGCTGCTTGACTCATCGCATTCCATTCCCTTATTCCAGACCTCCAGCTGCACTCTAGCCAATCAGAGCTCAGTATGCAAATAAGGAGAGGGGAGCTTGTCATTTTGGAGCTGGAGTGCAGGGTGCGAACGGAGCAGCTCGGTGCAGAAGAAAATAACATCTTAGTCTTTGGAAAAATAAATACGCTGATAAAAATCATTTAGCAGCAGTGGAATTGGGAATACAGCCAAACCCACAATATTTGGGAATATGTGCCTCTCGCAGAGCAAAAGAGTTTCTGAGAACAATGAGGAGATTCATTCTCAGAGTGGCAAAAAAGAGAGAGAGAAGGAGAGAGGGAGAGAAGTTCTTGAACTGAAGATGGAGTTTGAAGGTGTTTAGTGTTTACACTAGTCAACGTGTGATGCAATTAAAAATATGGTTCCCTCATGTGAGGCATGAACATCAGCTTCAGCCACAACATGATCTGATCAGTTTTATTTGTTTACATATCTAAACATTTAGATGTAACTCGTGTGCACTAGATCTGACATTTTTTGACCTAAATGTTAGGGACATTCACGTGTGAATGTGGGGTGAGGATGTATTTTTGCAGTCATATTGTCTACAAACCAGCACATCTGCACTTTAAAGCCAGTTCACATTCTCAGATTCAGATTCCAGCTGGCAGCGTTGAGAGATCAGAGATGGGTCAGGGAGGATAGTCATGATCCGTTCAGCATGCATGATGAGCCAGACGCGTGGGTGGGTGTGTGGGGGGGGGAGCCTGGCCTCTGCAGGTGTTCGCAGGTGAGGGCTGATTTAGATTACAGGCATGGCGTCAAGTTCACAGCTGCAGTCTGTGACTTTTGTAAGCTTGCCACCAGACACAGACCCACCTCTCTGGAGATCAGGTCACACAGGTTTCTCACCAAAAGGATTTCAAAGAAGCCAGTTTTTGTGTTTATAACTCAGAGACCTTTTGAATGCAGTACTGATAAGATGGAGAATGAGGTGGTAGATCCAAAGTCTGCATGTGCGGTTTTATTCTAGTCCCTGCTCCCTCACTCCCTTCTCCCTCTTTTTTCCTTTCTTTCTTTGTCATTCTTTCTTACTTCATCCTCCCATTTTAACTTTCCAAATACAACTCGCAGGCCCCTTCCCCCTCTCACTTTCCTCTGGTTTCTTAATTCCAGTTCCAGATTTTTCTTACGTTTTGCTGTCAGCAACAGAGCAAAAAACCATGCCCACAGGAGGCAGTTGGGCTTCAGCCCCACCTCCAGTCGGGAGCCACTGGGAGTTACAGACACTGCAACTTTTAGAGGAAGAGGGGAAAGGGAACGAGGACACAACTGAACTAAAGGGATATCCTAAGGAGCGAGGAATCCCCATAACCACCCTCTATATTCCGCTACTGTTGCATTTCGGGAGGGGAGGGGGTCTCCAGATGTGTTCCCCATCCCCCCCTTCAAAGGGCTCCCTGTACTCTGTAATTTTGCCAGTCTAAATTGGCTCTCTTTTAAAAGAGCCTGTGGCAACACAGCCCTGGGCAGAAGAATATCCTGTATACAGACCAAATAGCTGTGTTAGTCTAGTCTGCTCCTGTCTGACCACTGCAAGGAAAAAATTAGGCTTTGATTTTTTCCATAATAATTTTAATATATTATTAATATGACTATTGAGAGAAAATAAGTCACAACTGTGGCATATAAAGTCTCAACTACAACAAGAAAAAGTTAAACTTGTGAGAAGGTCACATTGTGAATGATAAGGTTGCAATTATGATAAATAAATTTGCAGATGTGAGATATAAATGTACAACTATGAAAAATAAAGTTGCAGATATAAGGCAATTATGAAAAATAAAGCAAAGTTTGTGAGACAGTCACATTGTGAAATATTAAATCACAAAAAAGAAAAATATTCACAATTGTGAGATATTAAGTCAACTACAAGTAACTACAAGAAATAGTCAAATTTGTCAATCATACTGTAAAATATAAATAAACAAAAAGAGAAAGTCTGAATTCTTAGATATAGTCACAACAACAAAAAATAGTCACATTTGTGAGACAGTCACAATGTGAGATATGAAGTCACAATAATGGGACACAAAGTCACAATTGTGTTAAAGTTGCAATTATGAGGAAAAATTGCAGTGCACAATTACGAAAAACAAATGCAACTGTGAGATATAAAAGTGGCAATTACGAGAAATAAAGTACAATATGTGAGAAAGATTCAGATTGTGAAATACAATTGCAAAAATGAGAAATAGTCACAATTGTGAGAAGTCACAACTACAAGAAAGTCTATTGTGAATTATAGTCACAATGATTATATATAAATTCCCAACTACAAGAAATAGTCAAATATGTGAAAATCACATTGTGAAATATAAAGTCACGATGTGAAAGTCACATTGTGAGACAAGAAATGTGTCACAATTATGAGAAAGTCACAATTGAAAAATATGA